GTGAGCAGAACCAGGAGAATTTTTTAAATAAAGATAGCAATATTGTAAGGACAAACAAGGCTTGGAAACTCTGATCATTATGATAACCAAACAAGATTCTGGAGGACTCATAATGAAATATGCAGCCCACTTCCTGATAAAGAGGTGAAGGACTTAGAATATATACATATATATATATATAATATATATATATATACACACACACACACACACACACACACACACACACACACACACAATATATATATACATATATATTTACATACACACACACACACACACACACACACACACACATATATATATACACTTATATATTTATATCTATATATATGTTTTGGACCTGGCCAATGAGGGAATTTACTTTTTCTTTCTTTCTCATTTGGGAAAGGGAGAGAGAGAAGCAGATTTTTGCCAATTTAAAAAATGCGTGCTAGTTGGCTGATTGAGATACTGCTGAGGTGGTGTGAAATGTATAACCTCTCCAAGTTTCTATTGGTAGCTGAGTAGCATAGTTGATAGAACACTGGACTCTAGAACTGTTGGATACTGACTCAAAAACTTACTGTTTAACACTGAGCAAAATTTTTAACCTCTCCATGCCTCAGTTTCCTCATCTGTCAAATGAGGGATTTGGATTTCATAGCTACTAAGGTCCTTTCCACCTCTAAATCTATGAGCCTTGATTCTAGAAGATCATGAAGTGAAGGAAAGCATATGAAAAGACCAAGTCAGAAGGGAGAATGATTACTGCTCCCTAATATTTACTGAGTTGTGAACATCTGGGACAAGGATTGTTCTTTCAAGCAGGCAATTAGGCAGTTCATAGGATCTGATTTAGAACTGGAAGGGGGCATTAGAAGAAATCTATTCCACCCCCCTCATTTGATACATAATTAAGGAAACTGAGGTCCAGAGAGGTGGTCACACAAGTGTCAGAGCAAGGATTTGAACCCACGTCCCGATTCCAAATCCTGCATTTTTATTGATGAGAAGGTACTGTTAATGCCTTCTGTCCCCAGTTCAGGTGCCACCATTCCTCAAATAAAGGTGTGCCCTTTAGAAATGTAAATCCCCCTAGGAGGGGGCAGCCTAGTAGTATGGAAATAACTTTGGATTTGGGGTCAGGGGATTTTCATTTGAATTCTGCCTCTGCTATTTATTTCTTGTGTGACCAAAGGCGCTTCCCTTTATCTCTCTGGGCCCAAGTTCCTCATCTTTGAAATGAAGAGGTTGAAGTAGGCAGTCTCTAAGCTCTGTACTAGCTCTAAATTTATGATGACATTTCTTGGAAATGTAATGATATTAAGTTTAGCTGGTAGAATTCCTGGATGACTGTAAGAACCCTGAATAGTATGAGAACAAAGAGTTTGCACCACTGATAGTGGAACTGCAGCAGCATCTTTATGGATGGAATATAGCCCAAGTGCTATTAAGGAAAGGAAGGAAAGTGCTCTAAAAAGGGATGGGCTGGGGAGGAGCAGTGATGACAAATTGTTGACGTCACAATTTTGCCCCAAGCTGGCCCTGCCTGGGGCATTCTATTAAATAGAGAAGCAGCTGCAAGCCCAGACCACGTCAATACCAATCTTCAGGTAAACATGCAAGGGAAATACACAACTGTGAGATGCCACCAGTAGCAAAACCTTTTCCCATCTGTTGAGATGAAGTCCTGCTTAAATACTCGCCATCCCCCCCCCCGCTTTCCATGGAAATGCAACAAAGAGAAAATTTCCTTTCTAGTGGAAGGAGAAATTCTGGCCCTTGACAGAGTCCTGACGTGGCCCAGAGTTAAGGGTCCCAAGGCTGACCTCAGAAGTGAAGATGTAATGGGCATCTGGCAGCCACGTGTGTTAAGCTTAGGGCATCTAAAGCAACTGTTAAGAGATGGGGAATGATTTCTGCACATGGCCGTCCATTGTCTATATCATTAATGCACATATCAGAAGGGCTGTTTCACTTCTACAACATGCCCGTTGGAGAGACGTTAGCTCCTTTGACTCCCTGGCAGGATAACTAATAAGACAGAATTGGAAGCATCATGTGGCCCCTAAATCTTCCCAAGAAAACCTTCCTCAGTCATACATGATTAATGGAACTTCGCTACCCCTTGGTAGGGGAAGATCTGCAGAGACTCTCATTGCAAAGGAGATGCATGATGTCTTGAGATGAACTGATCAACACATCATTCTCAGTTGTACTATTAAGGCCCCTCTCAGCTAAAGCATGGGTTTAACAAGGTCCAGGTTGCAGGTAAGTTCCCTAGGCAATCCTGTGACCTTCACCTTGAGGAATACTCTGATAGTCATAGGTGGAACATCCTGTTTCTCCATAATGGATCACCACCAGCAGCATCAAATGAGAGAATGGGGCAACTCTTCCCCATGCCTGGGAAAGTAATTCTAACAATACCCTACCAGACATGGGGCAGAAGTATCATCTTTTTTTATACCAAAGAGAACAATCTTACCTTGATTTTAACAGATGGTACAACTCCCCCCCCCCACCATGGTGAAGGGGCCAACTAATGGGAAAAAGACACCTTCAAGTCAAAACACATTTAACCTATTAACACTATAGCTTTTCCCCTTGAAGTGTTAATTCCCTCTATTCAAAATAGAGATTGATGTATTTCTGATACTATTACTACTAGCTAGCATTTGTATGCTGCTTACTATATGCTAGGCTTTACAATTATTATCTCATTGGACCCTCACAACAGCCCTGGGTGGTAGGTGCTATTATTAGCCGCATTTTACAGAAGAGGAAAACAGATCAGGCAAACAGGTTAATTGACTTGGCCAGTGTCGTACACCTAGTGTCTGAAGCCATATTGAATTCAGGCCTTCTTGACTCCAGGACCGTGCTCTATCCACTGTACTACCTATTTGAAATAATAACTGGCTTTTCTATAGCACTTTAAGGTATCCAAATTGCCTTATATACATTACCCTGTTAGTGCCTCACAACCACCCTTTGAGTAAGGTACAACAGGTAGTAATACCCTCATTTTACAGATGAGAAAACTGAGGTTCCAAGAAATTAATTTGTCTATCACTGGGTCCCCTTGAGAAGGACTCATAGGCTATTACTAATACCACAAGACTCTTTAAAGGGAAAGGTTCATTTCTGGATGTCCTGAGGCTGGGAGTACCATAGATGCTAGAAAAAATGAATAGTACGAATCACTGAGGATTGCTACTGAACACCTAGCCCTGGTGCTAAGAAATTGCTTTGATCTACCTTAATACTAAGATCTCACATAATGAATGTCAAGGGTCTAGTGATCAGCATCTTAGAACAGGTTTAGACTTTGGGGATAGAAGGGAGGCCTAGAATCAAATGGGTGAATTTAATAAGTTCCCCAGATGACTGGGGTCAGCAGAGCAGAGATTAACAATGGTGAGAGGGGAGAAGTGAAATTCCAATATTCTTCCTTTCTAGTTTGTCATTGAACTGTTTCTCTTGTTCTATAGAGATTTTTTCTAAAAAGGTGCTATAGAAACTGGAGTTAAATACATAAGTATTTAAGACCTGCAAGCTGGGTGGTGTTCTTATAGGGCCATTTTAAAGGTGGTTGCTTTCTACCCAGAGGTGGTGGCTTCTCAGTGACAATGGGCAAAGTGATTTCAGTTTGTAAAGTCTGTTCAGTGCTTAGGGCAGTTTGGCTGAAAAGCACTATATAGATATCAGTTATCATTATTCTCATGATTACAATCATTATTTTACATATGGCTGCTTTAAGGGTGAATGGCATGGTCTCATTTGTATGCTGGCACCTGGCAGTCTGTCACACATCTGCAGAATATAACTCAAATTACACTATTAATATTTCTCCTTTGCATTCTCCCCAAGGCATCTGTCTCCTAAATCGCCTAAAGAAGCTCCCATCCCCCAGTCCTAAGCCCTGCAGGCAAAATTCAGCAAACATGTCACCTGAGCAGAACTATAGAATGACAGCCGAATGAGCAGAATTTGGGCATCTGTCTCTTGGAATAGAACCAAAGTGGGAGAAGAAAACACCACCCGTGGGCACCATGTTAGCAGGCACACTGACAGACTGCATTCATGCATAGGTGACTGAGCCCAAATGGACTCAGCAGCACATTCTATAGAATTCTGGGCAGGGTTCTCTCATCTGTACAATGGGTAGAGTAATACATGTGATACCTAGCTCACTTTGTGAGGCAAAGTGCTTTGTTAAGCTTTAGAAAAATGACAGTATTATATAAAATCAGAGAATTTTTGAATTAGGGCCATCTAGACTAATCTATAACCTGAGAGGAATCACCATTACAAGTGGGCGTCTAGCCTCTGTTTGAAGGTTGACAATGACAGTGTACCCAATACATCCCAAGGAAGCCCCTTTCACTTTTCAATATTATATTTCCATTTCTTTTTTTCCTTTCTATCACTGCTGGGTTTTTTTAAATCCGCTATGGCCTCTGAAAGATGCCCCATTACTGTGGACATTTCAAATGTCACTAGATACGCCTGATGGTCCTTACCTACCAAGAGTTGCCTTTTGTCAACAATTTCTTGAAAAGAGATGAAACTCCCTATCACTCCTTTATAGGTGTGATCAAAGTTTATTATGTAATTAGCCTTATAGACTAATAATGTTATTTCACAGTTTTACTGTGTGCAGTTATAATGGTTGGAAAACAGAAAGAACTTTGCACTGGAAGTCAGGAGACCCAGCTGTTCACCTCTCTGGGCCTCAGTTTCCTCCTCTATAAAATAAGGGGGTTAAGAGGCAGCTAGGTAGTGCAGTGGATAGAGCATAGTCCTAGACTCATGAGAACCTGAGTTCAAATCCAGCCTCAGACACAAAACACTCACTAGCTGTGTGACCCTAAGTGAGTCACTTAACCCCATTGCCTAGCAATAAATAAATAAATCAAATCATATCAAATAAGGGGGTTGAAGTAGATGATCACCAAGTGTGCTTCCCCATCCGATATTGTACAGTTCCATAATCAATGATCCACAAAGGATACTAAAACTTTGATTGGTTATTTCAAAGTTCCATAAGTTTATCCTTAGGTCATCTGCTGACATGTAGGTCTCATAATCACTGTTGACTGATATGGAGTTGATGTGATACGTGTGTGCATTGGCAAATACTCTTCTGGGTGTGGCCTCCACCATCAGGTCCATGGGTCTCAGCACAGGAACCTGCAAAAGAAGATGGACATAGGATGTTAGGAATAGAGCAGATCATATTCTGTTTCTCAAATCAGTAGGCATGGAAACCATGCTAAAAGCAATCCGTTCAGCTCAAAGCTGAATGGCAACTTTCTTCCCATCCTCAAATTGTATTCTTTGCCTTTCTCCCCATTGGAAACAAAGTGGCTACCATTAACTGCTACTAGCATCACTAATAAACCAAAGTCCTGCTTTGGAAACATTACCTTTTAGAAAGCCTACTCCCTCTTCCAGAGGACTATCTATGCCTGGTCTCATGAGAACTTTCCTTTACTCTTGGGTCTTTCTAAGCTCACTACACTCATTAGCCTCCTTAACCCGTCATGCTAAAAAACATGAATTTTGCTTGGTAAGTAAAAAGTAGGACATTTTGAGAAATCCTGACTCAACTTGAACCTGAAGTTATGATTACGAGAGTGTGACCTAGGGCAGGTCACTTAAACTCCTTGGGCCTAAGTGCCCTCATCTGTAAAATGTGGGAGGATGAGGACTAGATGATTTCCAAAGTCCCTTTCAACTGTAAATCTATGAGTCAATTCTCTTTCCCTTCTCACTCCAAGGCATTTGTGGTTCAGGGTGGATTCTCAGGGTCCACTTATCTATCCTCCAGGGGTTACCCAGGATATCTGTGCTACAATTACTTATCCAAAACCCCAAAGAACAAAGAGAAAGTTATAGAGTTAAATTTAAGTTTGAGGAGCAGCTAGGTGGCACAGTGGATAGAGCACCAGCCCTGGAGTCAGGAGGACCTGAATAACACTCACTAGCTGTGTGACTCTGGACAAGTCACTTAACCCCAACTGCTTCACCCCAAAAAATAAGTAAATAAGACTTAAGCATGAAATAGGGAAATTTTTTTTTAACAATTTGAAGTTTTAAAAAGAATGGGTTGTTTTAACAGGGAAACTGTCCCTAGATGACATAAGGGCTTAGTAAATTGTAAAAAGCAGTGATGGGGAAAAGGGAAGGGAATAAATATTTATTGTTTATTATGTGCCAGGCACCGTGCTAAGTGCTTTACAAATATCATCTCACTTGATCACAACAACCCTGTGAAATAAGTGCTCTTATGATCCCTATTTAACAGTTGAGAAAACTGAGGCAGAAGCTAAGTGATTTGCTCAGGGTCACACAGCTAGTAAGTGTCTGAGGTCACATTTGAACTCAGGTCTTCCTAACTCCAGGCCCAGCACACTATCTACTGTACCACCAGCTGCCCAGTCAGAAAGGTGGAGATGAGGAGGGAGAGAATCTCAGGCATGGAGTTGGGAGAGGAAGTGTCATGTTTGAGTTATAGCAAGAAGGCCAGTGTCACCAGACTGCAGAGTATATAGAGGGGAGTAAGATAGAATGAGAGCACTGGAAAGGTGGGAAGGGCCAGGTTATGAAGGGCTTTAAAAGACAAACTGAGGCCTTTATGTTTAACCCTTAAATGACAGGGAGTCAGTGGAATTTACTAAATGCAGGAAAGAGAAGGGTAGAGTGGGGAGAGTTACATTGTCAGATGTGGGCTTTTGGAAGATCAATTTGATGGTTAAGTGGACGACTGATCAGAGTGGGAGAAACTTGAGGCAGGGAGACCCACCAGCAAGGTATTGCAGTGGTCTGGTTGATAGGTGATGAGGGCCTGCACTAGAGTGGTGTCAGTGTCAGAGTAGAGAAGAGGGCATATATAAGAGATCCTCTGAAGCTAGAAACAATGGGGTTTGGAGATAGATTGGGTGAGAGGTGATAATAGGGTGAGACAGGGGCAGCTAGGTGGCATAGTGGATAGAGTACCAGCCCTGGATTCAGGAGGACCTGAGTTCAAATCCAGCCTCAGACACATAACACTTACTAGACCCTGGGCAAGTCACTTAACCCCATTGCCTAACCAAAAAAAAAAAAAAGAGGGTGAGACAGTGAGGGACTGAGCAGCGTCATGAGCCTGGGAGATAGGACGGTGATAACCTCAACACTAACAGAAAAGGTAGGAAGTTGGGGGTGGGGAGGAGCAGGAAATGAATTCAGTCTGGAAATGCTGAATATTAGAGGTCTGCAGGACACCTACTGTCTAGCCCACAAGGCTCTGCCTCTTAATCAACCAAAAAAAGTTCCCTCTCCTCTATCTTTTTCTATGCTTTAAGGAAATTCTAGGAGTCCCAGCCGTGGCATTAGTTCCCACTTCATTACCCATTTGCCAGGATACTATGACCAAGCCTGTGTTGATACATGTGACACCCCGCTCCTTCCCACAAAATCATTTTCTTAAATTAATAAAGCTCTCTCTAAAAGACGGATGACCCAAGCAGAGAGGAAAAACTTTGTTTTTGGAAAGCCGCTTTGTTGCCATTGCTACATTTTTCAAGATTTTCTCTCTGTTTTTCCCTTATTTCCCCACCCACTGGGTTGAAGCCAAACTCCAAGCTGACATCTTAATTTAGTGCCCAGAGTCAGACCTGCAGGGCTCAGTTGCCAAGAGACTAGTTCCTTGAAAAGAAAATGGTCTGAGGTCCCAGGTTTCCCTTGTTTTGTTTCCATTAAAGGGCCAAACATATGAAATTGTTTTTCATGTCCTTCCCAGGCTCTCTGACAGTGACTTTTTCATTATGACAGTCTCTTAGGGGCCAGCCCTCCAGTCTGCTTTCAGAATTACCCTTGACTTCAAAGGAAGCAGGACTATTCATTTGGTTTCTTGTTTATCTTTGCTACATATCTCCTTATCCATGGGAAACTTTATAATGACTGAATATCTGACCTACACGGTAGAGAGCAGTTTGAGGCAACAGTTTCCGAGTCAGAAGAGGTTTGCAAGCCACCTAATAGAACACACCCCTGAACAAGAATCTCTTCTGCCTAACAAGGGTCATCCAGCCTCTGCTTGAAGGCCTGTAGTGAGGGATACTGAGATACATGAGAGGTCATACCCACTCTCTTGAGGCTTATAATAGGGCAGATTCTCATCGTTCTGGGCCAGAGTGACAGTATAGACCCTGTAGTCAGGCTTTAGACCTCCAGATTCAACTGGAAACTACTCTCTCCAAAGTTATAAATGATCTCTTAATTATCCAATCTAATGACCTTTTCTTATTCTTCACTCCCTTTCACCTAGGACCTAAGATAGAGTCTTGAGGAATACTCATGATTGAGGAGTGTTCAATAATGGAAATATCATGGAAATCGGGAGAAGATCAAGTAGTGAGACCTGTCTGCAGGCTTTCACACTGCTGATCACATTCCCCTGGATGCCCTCTTCTCCCTGGGTGCCATGTCACTGCTCTCTCCTGGCTCTCCTCCCACCTATCTGGGCACACCTCAGTCCCCTTTGCTCAGTCTTCATCTAGGTCATTCCCACTAACCTCAAATATGTATCCCTTAAAGGTCTGTCCCAGGCCCTCTTCTTTAGCATTATTTTGTTTGTTTATCTTTTCAGCTCCTGTGGATTCAATTATTTCTCTTTAGATGATTTTTTTAGATCTATTCATCTAGCCCTAACCTTCAGTCTCACATTTCCAATTGCCCACTGGACATCTCAAATAGGATGTCTTGTAGATGTCTTATACTTAAAATTTCCAAAACGGAATTTGTCTTCTCCCTTCCCCCACCTTCACCTGATTCCTAACTTTCCTCTTACTGCTGAGGGTACACCATCCTCTGCCATCCAGGCATCACTAATTCCTCACTCTCAACCTTCATATCTAATTGGTTGTTAAATCCTGTTGTTTCTACCTTCATAACATTTCTCATATATGCCCTCTTCCTTTGACAATGCCACCAGCCTGGTGCAGGCTCTCATCACCTCTCACCTAGGCAACAGCCTGCTAGAATAGACAGGGGACATAGTCTTATCAGTCTAAGGTTCAAATCCCACTCTGGTCATTTACTATGACTTTGGGGAAGTCACTTGACCTCTCATTTCCTCATCTGTGAAATGAGAGGATTGGACTAAAAGTTCTTTAAAGTTCCCTCCAGCTCTATATCTTAGGTCCTGTGATCTTTATTCCTTCTGGAGATGGTTTATAGTTTTGTGGAAAGATCCTTGCACCTTGAAGACTTAGGAGACCTGGTAGGTTTAGCACTGATGGCTTCTATGATCTTGGGTCAATGATTTGACACCTTTAGGTTGCCAATTACACAATCAGTAAAATGGAGGTGTTAATAGTTTTCTAACCCTATCTTGAGAGGAAAGTTTGTATCAGAGGAAATGATTAGTGTGTCAAAGCTTGGCAGGGAGGTTATTAAAATGCAAAGTATGATTAGATTGTTTGCTAGGTGGGGTAGTAGATAAGAGTGTTGGACTTGGAGTTAGGATAATCTGAATTCATATCCTGTCTGAAACACATGGTAGGGGGCAGCTAGGTGGTACAGTGGATAGAGCACTGGCCCTGGAGTCAGGAGAACCTGAGTTCAAATCTGGCCTCAGACACATAACACTCACTAGCTGTGTGACCCTGGGCAAGTCACTTAACCCCAGTGGTCTCACCAAAAACAAAAACACATGGTAGCTGTGTAACCCTGACTCAGTGACCCCATCACTCTCAGTCCTCTTTGGCAATCAGTGTTGGGAGATGCCGCCACCACGTAGTCTGCAGCTTTTGTATTACCTGCTATCTGGCACATAGCAGGTCATCCCCTCATTGTTAGCCAGCTTGTAGAAGGCTATTCCCCTTATTTATAACCTCATTTCCTTATTATGTGGCAGTTGGGGAGGAGCTGAAATGCAATGGCCCATCTCCTTTTGCTGACATGGACCTATCTGAATTGTCTTTATCTCATTACAAAAGTTATCAATAAAAACTGACTCCGTCTTGAATCCCTTGCTGATCCTTACTAATCAGCCCATCAATGTGTTGCTACCTTGACATATTTTTTTAATAAATTCCTTTTAATTCTCTTTTTTTTTCCTGAGTTTTGTCTCATTAATCAAGGCAAAAGCCTGAGCAAAGGATTTTCCTTTTAACAGCTGGGCTTAACGGCTCTCAGCCTCAGTT